AACCCAGTAGCTAGAAATATGTGATATACTGGTCTTCGAAGTCTGGGAAGTTAATTGTCTACGCGGTATTTGGGCAGGAAACATTTCGCTGAAATTTCAGCTTTTCAAATTTTCTTGAGTTAGTAATTTTCCTGCTTAAAATATTCACGAGGCCGTACATGATAATCACGTACGCTGGGGGAGGGGGCGAGGGAGGAGCTGAGTTTGATAAATTTAAACCGTGCATGGAGTGGGAACATTCTTTGAAAACTTCAGCCTCCTTGCTTTTCTGGTTTCCGAGTTAACCATTTCCGCGCCAAAAACCTTCACGGAATCGCAAGTGAAAACCGTTCGCACTGAGGGCTGAATTTGATAAGTTTAAGTCATACATAGGCTGGAAACATTCCCTGAAAGTTTCAGCCTGCCAGCTTTCTTGGTTCCTGAGTTAGCAATTTTCGCGCCAAAAAAATTCATGAGGCCGCACATGATAACCAAGGTCGCTTGGAAACTGAGTTTGCTAAATTTAAGTTGTATGTATGCTGGGAACATTCCCTGAAAATTTCAGCTCCCCAGCTTTTCCGGTTCCTGAGTTAGCGGTTTTCGCGCCAGAAACCCTCAGGGGGCCATACGCGGGAGCCACGCATGCCTGGGGGTTGAATTTGAAATCTTTGAGTTTTATGGAGATGAGGGACATAACCTCAAAATTTCAGCTTTCTAGCTTTTCTGGTTCCTGAGTTAGCGATTTTCGCGCCAAGACTTTCACCCCCTCGTACGCGGGGACCAGAATTGCGTGACGATTGATACCGTGGCCCAGGGATGGCACTTGGCCATGGAACCCACGAACAAAATTATGGCGCAGGAGCTTGCTTGGATGCTGAGTTGAAATATCCGGATAGACGGACACACACACACACACACACACGCACACACACACACACACACACACACACACACAGGGTCGTCGCAGTGTGCGTAGTATGCGTTTTTGCATATATGTAAATTGCAAAAACGCATATTGGGAAGAGGCTGTGTGTGTGTGTGTCTGTGTCTGTGTCTGTGTTCGCACTTTTTGTCACCCACTTTCAACTCGAGAGTCAGAAAAGCTAGAAGGCTGAAACTTTGGGGATATGTGCCTATAGCATGCGCCACTCTCCCGATTTAATTTCATCCCCCGTGGAGGCCTGAGTGCCGCGTGCGGACCCTTT